CTAATATAAATAATTGTGTAACGATCGACGTTACAGTTGTACCACATCAGCCAATCAAAACGACTTTCCATCATGCTGCGTCGCGCGGGATTTGGAAAAACAGCAGATTGCCCTGCCCATCACTACTTCTATAGCACATAACAAAAAGTGGTGTCCAGAATTATGCGATTTCTTTTGTCAACTATACGAAATCTTCGAAATATTTCGGACTTTTGCATCGGAAGTTTTGGAATTACTATCAAACACCTCTTCCACCAATCACATGCATCTTATGCCTTTATTTTAATTCTGCGCATAATTTCGCATCACATGGGCTAGGTGCTGAGCAAAGGGTCGAAATTGACAATTTTTCAAACAATTTAAATAAGATTAGGATCGTTTTTCACTTAAGACACAAAAGTAGTTGTGTTAGAAAGTTTTAAAATTTTGCAATTTAACTTCTTAAAGTTTGTATTTTCTTATGATTTCTCAGCACCAACAATTGATAGTTTTTAAATAGACTCGTTGACATAGCAGATAGTTACAAAATACTATATATACTATTGAATTTATTGAGAATTACTTTGTTGTCAAAAATTTAGGTTTGTTTCAAAGTCAATTCCAAATGATTTGATAAAAATGAGATAATAAACATGTGTATTAATATATTACAAACGTTAAACAAATTAAATTGTAATGATACTCGAATTGTAGATCTAATGTTCCTTAAATGCAGATCTATAGTCACTAATTTACTCTGTTCAGGGGTGTAAATGGGCAACACCCAGGTAAAATTATTGGACATGGACAATTTTGGACAATAAATTAAAAATTAGAAAAAACGGGCAAAAAAAAAACCAAGTAAAGAATATCACAAATTAACAAGTTGTTTTAGAGCAGCAAAAACCATATAGTATTAGTAGCTAAAATTAATTCTAATTAAATTTATTATAAATTTACTTCAATCTTTGAAGCTGGAATATTTGGACGTAACATACTATAAAATTTTTGTTTACAGGCGGTTGGTGATCTATTTGACAGATTATTAGAAATAGTTTTCCATTCCCCTCCATAAAGTTTTACAAGGTTCAGTAACTTATTTTCCTCATCTTTCGTCCATTGCATTGCTTTTGCTCTATTTTCAAATGTGCAAAGTTCATTAAAATCCTGTCGATGCCAATCAACATATGATCTAATCGACGCACACGTCCTCCCTGGCATAAATTTTGAAATTCGATGATAATCCACACCGTATTCACCTAATAATTCCTTTAACAATTGTACTTCTTTCTCAGTCCATGATTTACCACTGCGGTCTGGTAATGCCCAATTATCTGTGCTAAATGGATTTAAATCCGGAAAAATGCTCCGATGTGAATTATAATAATCCACACACTCTTCGAGAGTTTTCTCTGGAAAATTTTCAGCAATATTTTTCCAATCATTACCATGCAATTCGATAAGATTTGTCAACTTTAATATATCTTCATCGGACCAAGGTTTAGTTAAAGTTTTTTCAGTATTAGAATTTAACGATGAAGTAGGATAAGAAAAAATTCGAGAATTTTCGTTCACCAGTTGCTGTATTTCGCTGGGACTTTTGTGTTTCATTTTTTGAGAGATAAATTCCCAATCTGAACCATATTTCTGAACTAGATCTTGCACTTGTATAATGTCCTCGAAATTCCAATCTTTCTCGACTTTCATGAATACCTCAGTCATCATTTTATATTTATAATAACATCCAGATGGTAATCTACCAGGAAGGCCTTCAGAAATCTTACGCCAATCTGTACCATATTGAGATTTCAATTCTAAAAGCTTTCTTGTTTCTTCCCCAGACCAAGGTCTTTTTACATAAAAATGTTGTTGTATTTCATAGAGATCAATCTCATTTTCTTGCCCTTCAATGTAATAAAGTTGGGGATTTGTCCTCACATGAAATTCGATAGTTTTTATTTGTTTATGTGGAAAATAAGACTTTATTTTTTTCCAATTTCGACCATATTTTTTTACTAGATCTTTTAAAAGAGATATTTCTTCTACTTTCCACCCTCGAGTAAGAGTTGTGTTGCGTACATGGCGATTCATAGGTGAAATACCAGGTAAAAGAATTGGAATTATTTGCCATTTTCCATATTTTGATATTAAGAGGTCTAAAAATTGAACATCCTCTTGTGGCCAACAATGTTTTACCAATTCTGTTCTATTTAATGACAACTGCCAACAAGAATGATATTTATCTTTACATGCATATTCAGTTCTCCCAGGCAACCTACTTGATATTAAGGACCAATCATTACCATATTGTTCGACAAGATCATTTAATAAACGCGTCTCACGTTCTGTCCACGGACTTGATACCTTGATCCATTTTGAGGACTTTACGTTATTAAGTGTTGGTAATTTATGTTGATGATATAGTAATAACCGAGACGCGGATCCTGATAATCTACTTCTTTCCGAAATTAAATTATTATTACAACAATATCTTTTAAATAAATTATCAAGTAATTTCATTTCACTATCAGACCATGATTTAGTTTTAGTCAATTTATCTGAGAGTGATAATAGTGCAGGAAATTTATTTAAATTTTCATATACAAATATTTCTATTGACTCCGGCGTCTTTGACGGGAATTGACTTGAAATCAATGACCATCTACAGCCAAGATTTTTAATCAAGTCGTCTAAAAGTTTACACTCTTCTTCGGAGAAAGTCTCTTTGGATTCAGTTTTAATGTCTTTTATATGAATATTTTCAGTTTCGTCATGAAGCTCACGATGGTATAAAGGCATGGAATAATATTGAATACAGCATTCACCAGCCTTTCTACCAGGCATATGTTTAGCAATTTTCTCCCAATCTTGACCGTGTTTTTTAACAAGAGTTTCCAAAACTTTTAATTCTAACCGTGACCAAGGACGTAATTGACGCGATATGGTATGACGAATTCTCGAGCCGAAATTATCAGAAGTATAGTTTTTAGACGAAACCATTTTTGAAAATGGTGAAAGACAAAACCCCTGACGAAAAGTGAAGCTTCCGGCGAAAGGTGAAACTCCTGGTGAAAGGCAAAGCCTCTGGCGCAAGACGTAACCCCCGGCGAAGGACGAAACCTCTGGAGAAAGACATCCCGAGATTCTAATAAAAACAGAAGGTAGAGCTATATTAGTAAACAAAAGCATGTTATCATTTGTTTATTAAATATATATAATAACCGTTAGACAGGCTTATATTGGAAATATACCATTATTGCTAAAAAAACTAGTGCTTAGCCTTTTGACTTCTCGGGTTTATGATGAGATAATCGACAATATTTATCACATGACTATCATAGATAATCGCTGAACCTCAAATTAGCAAAAATTTGCGTATACAATAAATTTATTTTTCTCATTTTTAATGATTCTAAGCTAAATTTTGATGATTATTCTTATTATAAACCGAAAAACTACTCTTAATTGCACGTGAAGAAATAGGTAGTCACATCTTTCTTGTAAAAATTTTCTTCTCTTTGTGCTTCGTATATTCATGATTCTAGCCAATCAAAATTTGCCTTATGGCTGTATATTAGTTTATTGCCAGTCCCTGCATCAGATACAGTAAAATCGATTCGGCTAATCGGCTAATCGAATGGTCACTAATAACTAGAAGATGCGCAGCATTGTGAGTCCGGAGCTACTATTAAAATTAATTTTTCAACAGATACAGTATTTATAAATTTATTTATATAATTGATTATTATATAGTAACAAAGAGCTATTTAAAAATAAACCAAAACTTATAGTGTGATATATAGCGACATACTGATACGTACGTTAACGATTGCTGTATTGATAAAAAAAAGTAGAGAGTCCTCCGCTACGCTACGCTCCGGACAATTATTGCAAAATAATGTTTTTTGATTTCCTATTTCCTAAATATTTTTTATGAAAATAGAAGTTGTAGAACATATATATTTGATTTTTGATTTAGGAATATAATTTGCACATTTATCAATGATGTAAAGAATTTGATTGCATTTATATTATATATTAAATTTTGTTTCTTTTTTAGCTTACTATTGCATGTGATGAGCAAGAAGAAAATTTTATAATTATTGTCGCGGCTGAAGCTGGAAATTAGGGACCTTGATTTAAAAATAAAAACCCTACCAAAATCCACTTATACTCTTTTATTATTAAAACTACCACCCTAACCTAAAAAAAAATTTTTTTAATTCTAATATGTAGAATTCAGATAAGAAAAATTTAACCGAATTTACTTGGATAGTCGCGGAGGTATCTTCACATAAAATTTTAAAAAAAATTATCAAAATGCACGAGCCAAGGTTTTTTTGGCAACAACCTAAGTAAACTCAATGAAAATTTTTATCTGAACTCAACAAATATGTAGAATTTAAAAAATTTTCAGAGTTTACTTAGGTAATTGTCGCGAAACCTTCGCTTAAAGTTTAGAATGTTTATTATAAGTTGCGGCATCTGAGTAATCTTAATATAAATTTTTTGAGTATGGTTCGAATAAAAACTTTTCACCTAAATTACTTAGATGATTGTTGAAAAAGCTTCGCTTAAATTTTTAAATTTACCGCACGAATATTTTAAACCTTTAAACGAAGATACCTCGACAACTATCCAAGTAAATCCAATTATCAAATTTGCTGGTAAATTACAGTAATTTACCAGGTAATTCCAAAAAAAATTTTTTTAATCATCAAATCACATGATTTTATGTTGCACAAACACTTCTTAAGAATAACTAAGAGTAAATTTACCAAAAAAAATTAAAAATTACGGTAAATCAACAACCCTGAGTGGAGGTATCCTAAAACTTTAAAAAATTATCAAAATACGCGATAAAGTTTTAGACAACCACCTAATTAAATTAAATTTTTATTCTAAATATTTGTTTCAAATAAAGAGTTAGGACTATCCATCAAATTTGGAGGTATCTTATTCCAGATCTGACGATTGGCGGAAATTTTGTAGAATTTATGCAGACTTCGATCACTTGATTGGTCAATCACATGAATATGTTTTGATAATTTTGATCCACTGGCGGGAGGCATTTTATGCTCTTGCGAAATTCGGGTTTTCTTATCTCATGATAGTCCGGATAAAATAGTAATGCCGTCCGACAAGAGGTAGGAGCTTATGAGCTTGATAACTTGCAAAATTATCCATTAAAAGATGTCTAGTTATGTTGATTAACTCTTCTTTATTTAGGTACCTTACTGATGCCTCAAAACTACGGACCCCTCCAAGATCGCAAGTTGATGAGATTAATGAGAAATATTTATCGTCAACCGAATGTCCAAATCATGATAAACACAAAGATATATTACCTGAAATTGTGCGTGACACGCCGAGAAATCCTTTAATCGGGTCTAGTATTAAAAAAAATAGCCCAATTGTAACGGAAAATGATTTGGCTCTAGTTTTGTAAGCTTTTCTTTTTTTTTTTTTTTTTTTTTTTCCTTTATTTATAAACTAATTAATATTAATTTACTAAAGTCGAGGGAGAAGATATGCTATTCCACCACAATTTTATGAAAACGACGATGATGACGATGAAGAATTCAAAATGTGAGTTAGGTAATTACCTATAAATACTTTATATCAAATTTATTCTCAATTCCAATATTTTAATGTATATTTATATAGTAGGGACATAAAACCGCGGAATTTATTACCTCTTTTTTTGGCTGAAGCTGCAAGTTCATCACAATCTGCAGAGTCCGTCGAATCTAATATAACAAAAAAAGCAAACAACGACAAGTAATTCAAACTATCCTTATTGATATATGTTGCTGTTTATTGTCGTCACTAAATTAATTGTTTTTTCTTTTTTTGCAAACAAGAGATGAACCTACAATAAATATTTCCACGGCAAACACAACGAAAGCTAAAGATGATTCCGACAATTCCTCTGAAAAACCTACGAAAAAATCAGGCGTAAGTTACATTTGATCTTGGAACTGGAATATATATTTTATACTCAAATACTATGCTTATAAATTTATAACAGTCACGAAACAAACGTATCACTGATTATGGTAAAGGTACAAAACGAAATTATTCTAAGCCAACTGCAACTCGAAAATCCAAAAGATTGAAGCGTTAATCAATCGTATTTTCTGATATGGACGATAATTTCGTCATGGGCTATGTTTATTGTCTTCGGGATTCTTATATATATTAATTAACAAGATTTGATGTCAATGTTAATTTTCTTGTTGGTATTACTCATTCTTTATCTACTTCTAATACTGAATCCCGATATTCATTAAACTTCCCAGAGATCTTGGCCTTATTGATTATTATTAATGCAATCGATCATAGCAAGAATTTTGAAAGTATCGATTATCAATTTAGTTTTATGAAGTGTTAGTTAACAAAAATTCACCACAGATTTTGTGCATTTTTGGTCAATTTGTAATTTTGGTAGAATGGATTTTGGATTTTTTTATAGTTTTTAAGTCTATATATAGCTTTCGAAATTTGGCGTATAATTACAGATGAAGGGAAATTTTTTATAATTTGGACTAGGTGCAATAAAAAGAGACAAAAATAAGTTTCGCGAAAATTTGATTTTTATATATAATATGAAATCTACTGTAGAAGAAGACATAAGAAAATAAAGCTTTAAAGGCTTAAACCATCCAGTTTAGCGGGTAAATTTGGCTGCTAAAATTCACTTCTGATATAAAATATTTTAATTCGTAATCCGCATGAGAATCAGAGAAAATCGGGTGATTTTTACTATTAAAGCCGTGTCCAATCACGTGATCACATGATCGTTGGCCGGTCGCTTTTTGACAAGGTTATTCCAACCGGTTTATAACAACTCTAGAATGCTGGCATTCATATACTAAAATTAAGAATGTTAAATTCATTGAAAATAACTTTTTTTTTTTTTTAGTGCAAGCACTAGGGTTTCATCTTTTTAAGCGTAAGGTTTTGTCATGCCGTCATGCAAAAAATGGTTTCGTCTAAGAACGCTATACTCTTCAGCCAGTAACCCACTTCTATACAGCCTTAATCACCGTTGTCCTTCCAATGTTCAACTGCAACGTGTGATTGCATTGAGAGATCTTCAGGTACGATCGTTTACATTTTCCGTTATCCTTAGTTTCGTCTTACATGCCATGTGAATTCCTGTTGCTGGCGTAACTGTTGGAGTTGGTGGTTTAACTTATCTCAATTATAAACTCAATAGTAAGTTGAGATCTAATTTTTTTATGATCGAGTTTTCTAAATCTTTCTTTATCCCTAATTCATAATGATTTTCTGTTTTAATAGATATGACAACTAAGAGTTCTGATTTATTATCATCTATTTCTAATGGATTTACAGATGGATTGGCAAAATTCGATATTGAATTACAAGTACCTAAACTTAACAAATATTTTTTCCACAAGTTCAAGATCATCATCATCATCGTCATTATCACCAAAAATCCGATAAACCTAGATTTATAAAAAAAGATGATCCTTCCGATACTTCAGGGAATTCTGGTGCAGTTGCTTTATTTATGAGTGGCGAAAAAGACGATGAGATATGGAAAACCATCCAGAAAAAAGTCAAGTGGTGCACAAGATGATCAATTTATGAATCTCACTAAAAAATTGATTGAAGTTCGGAATATATTGATCATGAAGAAGGGCTTAAGTTACCTAATATCGTGGTTATTGGAAGTCAGAGTTCTGGTAAAAGTTCTGTACTCGAAGTTATCGTTGGACATGAATTTTTGCCAAAGTATATTTCTTTATATTTTTTCTTTTCGAAAATAATCTGTTTATACAGCATATATATATATATATTTATATATATTGATTTTTTTTACATTTTAATTATATCATTTTATTAGGACATTACGGGAGAGTCATAGTGACCTGGTTGTGTGTGTGTCCGCAAATTAGGTGTTTTGATTGGTTGATTGATA